TCCTCTACCTCCACACAGGCCTTATGATTGCAGGATTGATTTGCTACCCGGAACCACACCCCCTAGGGCACGGGTCAGCAACCTGCTCAAAGAGCCATTAAAGACCAAAAAAAACAAAAGATAAATCTGTCTGAAGCCGCAAAAATGTAAAAGTCTTATATAAGCCTTGTTTGGCAAAACAAGTGTATTACTATACCACTATGGAAAAGGACTATGTGGGCTGAAATATTTAGTAGGCATTCATGATTACATGTTAACCCTGAAGCAAATGTCACAATGCAGCATGAGGTGTCACAATGCAGCATTATAGGAAGGAATTTTTCTATCGTGGATGTGTTTCTGTAGGGAGGAGCTGAGTGAGTCATTAGGAACCAAACAGAAACTGACATCCATCAGAGCAGAGCTCTCTAATTCTGAAATCCCACATCCTCCATCACCAGCGTTCCTTGGTGTGATTTATATTTTTAGGATTTGGGGAAAAAATGGAAGAAAGTTCACATACCTGCATCGGAGCGCTACCTGTTTGATCTGTGGACGACTTTCCATCCTTGTAACCAAACTAGCAGCAGTAGTGGAGTTTGGAGATGCAATCCACTTCTTTGCACTTCTCTAATTAATCCAGAAGTTCTGCAAATTTTTCTTTTTATTTTTGTCAACCTCTCATTACAAAGCAAAAATGCAGGCAATCCATTTGCATTTATAATGAAAGCACATGATTGGCTCGATTCTTTGAATCCTCTTTTCTCTTTAGCTATCTTCAATTTTTCCGTTTGGAATCCATGGTCCAAGACACACCCACCGCTTTGTTTGCCTGGCACCGCGCCACGCTGGTTGGTTGCAAGTTGTGACCACTGATCTATATGGCTATGATGCAAATTATTTTTTTAATTTATTTATTATACAAATATTTACAGCATTGGAAATCATAATTAATTTTTGCATGTGGCTCCAGAGCCACGGGTTGTCGACCCCCGCCCTAGGTGTAGGTTATTTTCTTTATCTGCTCCTGAGACTCTCACCATGGAAAAATATGTCTCTGTATCACTTAGAGCTGGTATTATTCATCCCTCCTCTTCCCCTGCTGGTGCTGGTTTAGTTTTTGTGGGGAAGAAGGATGGTTCCTTCAGGCCATGTAAAGATTACAGGGGTCTAAACAACATCATGATTCCCATACCTCTAATAAACTCAGCTTTTGACCAGATTCAAGGGTCAAAAATTTTTTTCAAGCTGGATCTCCGCAATGCTTACCATCTGGTCCGCATTCATGAGGATGACGAATGGAGGACTGCTTTCGATACTGGCAATTCTGAGAATTTGGTGATTTCTTTTGGGCTCACTAATGCCTGTGCAGTTTTTCAGAATCTGGTTAATGAGGTGCTCAGAAACATGGTTGGACATTTTGTTTTTGTTTACCTGGATGACATTATTATTCATTCCCATCAGATCTGTTGTGTCAGCCTGCTTCAGAACCAACTGTTTGTCAAGGCAGAAAAGTGTGAATTTCAATATCAGGAACTACAGTCATCTGGCTGCGCCCCTCCATGCCCTAACCTCCGCCAAGGTTAGGTTCTGTTGGTCTGATCAGGCTGTTCGGACTTTCCGAAGACTTAAGTCTTTGTTCACCTCTGCACCTGTTCTGGTTTCTCCTGTCCCGAAAGACAATTTATTGTGTTGGTGGATGTTTCCAGTACAGGGGTTGGGGGATGGAACTACGATGTAGGGGACAGAGAACTGCTGGCAGCTAAGCTGGCTTTAGAGGAATGGAGACACTGGTTGGAGGGTTTCAAGATTCTTTTTCTGGTTTGGACCGACCATAAAAACTTGGAGTACCTCAAGTCAGCAAAGAGACTCAATCCCTGACAGGCGAGGTGGGTACTTTTTTGGCCTGTCTTACAGGCCTGGGACCAACAATATTAAACCTGATGCTCTGTCCAGGGTGTTTGAGGTGGATGAGGAGAGTTCTGGTGGTGCCGAGGAGTGTGTGTTGCCGGAATCAGTAAGATGTTGCATTACTATGGTTGACATTGAGAAGGAAGTCAGGCAGGCTCTCCTTAACCAATCTTCTCCCAGTGGTTGCCCCGATGGTCATCTGTTTGTCCCTGAAGGTGAAAGTTCAAGAATAACCCCCCCCCCCACCCCCCCCCCCCCCCCCCAGGTAAGTTTACAAAATAAAGGGTAAACATTACCACATCCACAGCGTTTGTTGTTGATGGTGAGAGGAATAAACACACAGTTAAAAACTTGCAGATATATTAATTTGTTCCCATGTTATGGAGAGGTAACACACTATTTTAGGCAGCTAAAACATCCATTCTCTCCTCTCCTCCTCCCATATCTTTGGGAAATAAAAAGCAACTGTTTCCAACTTTTCAAAAAGTGCTCTGCATGTATTATACTAGAAATTTCTTTAATCCAGTAATCTGTCATATTTTACAATAGAACATGATTTACCAAAAAGTCTACACTATCAAAAGGAAGAGCTGTTGGTGATGCTGTCTGTTTTTTGAAAAAGCTTTTGATATCAATTGATATCCGCGACTGGCCTATCCGTTTCAAATTTGCTGCACAGGCTGTTGACTCGTAAGAGATTGGAGGGACGAGAGGGAAACACTTCCTCTTCTGCATGGGAAAGCTACAGGCTGCTTTCCTTTGCATGCTGCCACTATCTGGTGAATTCCAGTACTGCACATTTTACTCAGATCAGCTCAGAAGCTAGATCCGGGGCTCTTGGGGAAACATTTTGGGCTGTAGCCCAAGTAGCCACCCCCTAGATCTGCCTCTGGTTGTATCCATGGAATTAGAAATGGGATCAGTCTTTAAATTATACCATACGTAGCGTAGCTGATTCTGCGTTATGTCCTGTGTGGAATAAAATATAAGAATAAAATAATATAAGAATCACATTATATACAAATAACAGTATTTATAATTTTCAATGCAGCTCAGTACTGTGTTATTGCGCACAGTAAAGTAATGAAATAAATAAATAATTAGTAACAAAATTAAGTGACTGTCAGAGAGATGAATTATTCCGTTTGATGATCACAGGCAGGAATGACTTCCTCTGGTGTTCTGTGGTGCAGCGTGATAAAATGAGTCTCTGACTGAAGATGATACTGTGGGCGACTAGCATATAATAAAGAAAACGTGCACTATTGTCCAGCATGGACTTTATCCTGGCCAACATTCTCCTTTCTGTCTGTGCTGTGAGAGAGTGATGGTAAATTATATTTGCCTCTCTTAGTAAGACTGCAGAAAAGCAATATTTGCACTTGTGTCTAAATGAAAACAGAAGTACAGAGAGGTGAATGTGAAAGTGCAGAGCACAGAACCAGATCTGCGTCACTTCATCGCCTCTTCTTAGACATCAACCCCTCAATGTTGTTTCTCTCGGCAGCCCTGATGAAGGAATATTATACTGTTTGTGCACTAAAAGAAGATCACATATGAACAGCTTATTGTTCCTTTATAAATATTTCTACCATCAGAAATGTTTAGGGATTATATTACGTCACATTTATTTCAAAATGCCCATGAGCAAACTAAACATACTCACATTTATGTTAAACTACTTCTGTAAATGGTTTATCTACCACGGCACAAAAAAATCACACATAAGCAGGGAAACTGCCGCTTCGAGAGGAGAAAATCGCACTTCACGTACGCCAGCTCCTCCCAGGCGCGCTCGGGATCATGCTCGGGATGCTCAAAGAGATAATTCTGCACATACATCGAAAAAAAAATATACCACAACTTCCATTCAAAATGTAAGAATTTATTAACAAAAAACATTCAGCTCCAAGTCAAACATATTTAAGTAAAAAAAAAAAAAGAAAAAAAAAAAAAAACTAGTGAAACTCAACTAAACTAATCTACTATGTACAAAGAGGAAGGGAAAACTGTGGAGCAAGTTGGGCTGAGAGGGGGTTGCAGAGCAGGGAAGAGACTTCTCACAACCATTTGATGAGCAAAGCTGCATGCTCTTCCCCACTGAACATGTTAAGATGAAACATGGACATGGTTCTCAATGTCCAAAACTTTATTATGGTTTATGGCCCAACATAGGAGATACATCTAAGGTCATTCACTGCTTTACAGCAATATGAAAATGAAGAATTTCTGCTAATACAATTAAAACCATATGCAATAGATGCTTTAATCTATTCTGAAAAGGCACTTAAGTCTGTTTGACATGAGGCTATTCTTTTTCTTTGGGTCCCATTTGATGATGTGAATTGTAATTTCTTTAAAAAAATCAAGTTAAAAAGGATTTTAAATGTTATTTTGATGAAAATGAAAAACTATATAAAAGTACAGTGACGCATAGTGTGCCATTGTTATAGTAATCTATTATGAAAGTGTATTTAAGACTTTGTTACCTGTTAATGGAAAACATGACTCACTTATGCTACTTCATTTGAAAAAAGGGAGAACAGCGGTAAGCATTTACTCTACACTTTATTTGGTCTTTGCAAAGACAAGAAAAAGAAAATCATAACAACCACAGCTCACATGCTCAGTCCTGCTCTGAGCATTCTAAGTATCTTAACAATTATGCAAAAAGCTGTGAAGGTCTTAATATCTGTTACACAGAGTTTAAGCAAACAGAAAGATGCTAAAAAAATGCTAAAAGCACTCTTCTCCACTGCTAATTAATAATATGGATAAACAGCCTCATGGTATCAAAGTCATGCACAAATTCTAACAAAAAGAATAAAATTACACAGTGATTTTCCAGTATTTTTTAATATTTTGGTAAGGTTTAAAGTTTATTCTTCATCTCCAGCTAAAGCCCTCCATGAAGACAAATTACTAAAACATAAAAAGGATATTATATCTGCAGTATGCTGGATCTTGAAGCTGTAAGTTTGTTTTATTGAACCCTCAACATTTTTTTTTCATTTCCTCTTTTTCCGTTTGAATTCTTACAATCTTACCTCCGATTTTAATAATTTGCTCAGATTTGAAGTAAGTTGCAACACCCCCTATGGCACCTCCAATTACTGCTCCACCCACAGCTGGAATTCCTGTTGAAGCCACTGCAGCAGGTAAAAAAGGTGCAACCATATAAGCACCAAAAAGTGCTCCCAGTATTGCTCCAACTGTGACTCCACCTGTGATAATCAAGATTTCCCTCCAGCCCAACTTTTTTTTTTCTTCCCCCACTAATTTAAGAAACGTATTGGTGTAGTAGCCCTGATTGTTTATCATTGTTTTTATTGTGTTGAGAAGCTGCTCAGCCTGAAACTTGTTGCTCCTGTAACCTTCTTGCTTTTCTTTCCAGTATTTGTTATCAACAACGTGGCATCTGCCGCCACACCTCTCTACTAGCTTTTTCAGATCAGAATGCTTTTCAACAAAATCCTCAATTGTCATCCCATCTTCCAGTTGGTCTCCATGCGTAAACACAACCACAGCGTGTTTCAGAGCCTCCTCTGAGAAACACTGTTCTATTTCTTTGATGATTTCCTTCTCCTGTTTTGAGTAACGATCCACTCTCAGCACAATAAGAAAGGCATCAATCTTGGGTGCACACAGTTTGACACTGTCTATTATCTCACGCTTTAGTGTTTCTTCATCCATGTTGGTGTCAAAGAAGCCAGGAGTGTCGATCACATTGATAGGTACCCCATTGATGTATTTTCTTTCATCTTTGCCCACATCTGTTTCAGATGTAGGAGATGTTTTTTCTTTAAACAGACTGTCTCCCAGGATGGTATTTCCCAGGCTGCTCTTCCCAATACCAGTTTTTCCCACCAGGAAAATATTGATTTCATTTGGTCCTAAAAAACAAACATGTTATTTTTAATTAAATGAATGATAGAATGATAGTTATTATAAAACAAATATTCAACCAATTTACAGGTTTATAAATCTTGTATTACAACATTTCAAATGGAACACCCCATCATAATCACAGTAGGTCAGGTGGGAATTATTATATAAATGCAAAAAAATATATTTTAGAGTAATAACTTAATAGAAGCAAATGGATCAGCATTTACTTAAAGAAACAATTTGTTATTTGACCAACTGATAGACAACCTAATAAAACAAACTCATACAGGATAAAAACACCTTACTACTGAGTTAGAGATTATAACAGAATGATTATATTTTCGCTCTGAAGCAGATGTTAATTTAAGGGGGATGCTATATTAATTTGAATGAACATAGTAGTTACAAGATATGTATGGAATACATTTCTGATGCTTGTAGAATATGCTATCTAACATCAACTTGAGACTATAAATGTTTGGTGATTGGTATATCAGTCCTTGTGAACCTTGGAAAATATTCTATAATTTTATATTAAAATTGGACTTATCTAACTTTAAAAAACAAAACAAACATCTGACTTTTTTTCAAACAATAAATAATATGATTTTTTTATGATGTAAAAAATTAAGATCAGCATTTTGTGGATCTGTTGTTGCTTACTAACATGCCATTGATGTAGTGATTTATGTATGTAAGAGTTTTATTTTAAAAGTTAAGTGTTTTTAAAGTTTTGCTATTTTGGTAATTCAGGTCTTTGATCTATCTGGATAGCAAAACGTACGACGGATCTGGAAGATCCTTGAGTCCCTAATTTTCTTTTAACAGTATTAATTGGAATCAGTTAAGCAAGTAACGCAGCAATGTATAATCATAGATAAATTCAAGTTAAAATTTTTTCAGTTTTTTTTTCTTTTTTATACCCTGTAGGCTCTTAAGGATACAGGGCTAATTTCCAAAAAAGACATACTCATACTTCATAAGGCCTTTCTCAACTTGTAAACTGCCTAAACTGCTTATATTGTTATTAAAAAGCATAAAGGTCATGCAGGATGATGTGGATGTGAACATTTGAAAGTAAATTATTCGGGGCCTGAGTAATTTAGATTTAAATGGCTCAGAAATAAGGCTCGCCTAAAAAAAACCCAATATGTTTACACAGAAAACTTCTCACTTTTTTGAACAGTTTGGCACAAGTGCTGAAATTAGGAATTCATTCTTGAAATTTAAAATTTGGATTGCTGTTATGTTTTCCTCCTAAAAATCTTAAGTTTTATTTTTTGTCGTCAATCTTCACTTACACACCCTTATTGACAATATAAATATAAATATATATATATATATATATATATATATATATATATATATATATATATATATATATATATATATATATATATATATAAAGCTAATGCCTAATGCTAATGCTAATATCTACCACCGTTAGATGGACACAAGCCTCAGCCAATCACAAGCGAGATAAGCAGATTCATGATACACACAGCTGTTTACTTCCTCAAACAGTAGTCTACTTGTGCAGCTGATGTGCAGGTGGGGTGGCTGATAAACGGCTGCTGCTGCTTTTAAAATGTGAATGCTACCTTAAAAAAATATTTTGGCATCTCAGCAAAACAGCTACACCTATGATGACCTTTTCTAAAGGCAGTATGTCAACTGATATGGGTTTTACATCATGAGCTCATCAAAAATCATCAGCGTTGCTAAACCCATCACTGATAGTATATAATGTTCACTCGAAAACACTACTGTGGTTAAAGAAATAATTAGGTGTTAATATGTATTTTGTTTGAGTAGGTATTTATACAGACCATTTTATGAAAGCCTAGATGAGATCAGAGTCTAGTACTGTAACTCTTATTTAGCTTACAAGATTTTTTTTAAAGTTTTGATATTTTAATGTAATCTTAAATCTTTCTTCATGCTAATTTAATAAGAAGGTGATTAATGAATCCGATATCCAAACATTCACTAACATTTTATATGATTTAATTATTATGCTGGTTAAAATGAAGCTATTCTATTTCATATATAGAAAGACCTCAGAAAAAAAGTACATTGTAAAAAACTTGAAAAGTATTTTTTTACAAGCCTAAACTACAAATAGTTGGAAAAATGCTAGTCTACCAGAATGTTAATGATATATTACGATAGTTAGGTGGTAGATGTTAAAGACCATGGCATCTGAAAATACATGTCAGAAAAATTATGGAAAATATCAAAGTCACTGTTAAAAATAAGTACTGTAACTGTATGGCTATTGGGACAGACAAAATAAATGACATGTATCTTACCTTCCATTATGAAGAGAAGCTCAAAAAGGTGCAGATTTTGTAGTCAGTTTTTAAAATGTTGGTCCTGGGTCTGTTGCTCTCTCAACTATAGGTGCTAAACAGTTTCACTTTTGTTTTGGGTTCATAGCCACTCCCTTTACCCAAAAGTGTTTTACAACAACTTTGGGTAGTTAGGGGGAGGTTTGGGAAAGAGTGAGAAAGAACATCTAGTTGTTCTGGCTCATATTGGACAGGTTTGTTGTCAAATTGGCTTCTTTTTAACATGTTTTTAAGATACAATGTGTCTCATTAGTGCTATTACTAATGATAGGTAGATGAGACTTTATGGAGCATTTTGCCAGATTCCCTTAACTCTATTGATAGGGCACTTACCAGACATGTTAGTTTGATTTGATGCATATATTTTGCAGAAAAAGAGCCACTCAAATGTTTAGGACTTTTTTTGTACTTATTACAATATATACACTATACACAGACAAACAAAGAAAAGTATGATAGAGAAAAAGGTGACCCAATTACAGACAAATACCTGCAGGAACAGGCATTTTTTAGATACCTGAGAGGGCCAGGCTACAATACATACATATATATGTGTATAGAATAAATGTTTTTTTTATTTCATTTCTTTTCACAAAACCACCAATAACATTTTGCTACCTGATATAGGTTGGTTGACGACCATATTTTCAGCATAATATTCATTGACGAAAGAAATGCTACCTAGCAGTGGTATTTTCAATCTCACAGTTGTTATTAACAGATGGTATGTTGTTTTTTTCCTTCTACCACAACAGAACAAACCAGTTCTAAGTGATGCAGCTTCTCACAACTATGACGAAGGTATTGACAGAAAACAATGGTGGGTGCAGCACTGTAGACATGATAAAAAAAAAAAAAAAGGAAATTGCTTGGTCTGCAGTTTCCAGAGTTTGGTAAATTATACAAGAAATAAGTCTACTGTATGTTAATTTTTGTGTGGTACTGATTGTAGGTATGTTAACCTCAATAGAAAAGATGATAAAAAACCTCCACCAGAGACCATTTAGGGACAGATGTTTGGTTCAAAGTGGTCTGTCTGTTGAAACAGTTTAGTCATGACTTTATTGTTGGCTAAAGGCTTATTGGACTGGATGTAAACATTAACTTCTTAAATCCAGCCAGAGTTTTTCTATTATTATTAACCTGTCTCATTTTTGTTCAATAAGTTGAGGATGGACTTTACTTTTCACAGTTTATACAAATAACAGTTCAATTTGAAAAACTCACACGGAGAGAAAAGAAAGAAGAAATTTATTGACACTACTCTTTGGCGCTCAGACCACAGCAGGAAACAGAGCTTAATTTTTTATCAATATGGATGAAAAGGAGTAAAGAATAGGGCTGTTTCCCCCAAAAAAGTTGCAGAGGCTGAGGCCGATACGATTGCATGCTGAAAAGGCAGAGACTGAATTGAAATCTAAGAAATGTAGAACAGAAGGAGGAGTAAGAGAGGAGATGAGCCAGCGAAGGCTTACTAAAGGCCAGTACCGCGAAGGCCTACCAAAAGAAGGCTGATTGCCGCAAAGGCCTACAAAAAGAGGGCTGGTTGCCCCAAAGGCCTACCAAAAGAGGGCCGGTTGCTGCAAAGGCCTACCAAAACAGTGTCGAATGCAGCAAAGGCCTACCAAAAGAGGGCCGGTTACCGCGAAGGCCTACCAAAAAGTTGTGAAGGGATGGTGAGGTGAATGGTGATAGGATGAGGGATGAAAGCTAGGATGATTGCTGGGATGAATGAGGGAATGAATGAGAAGGTAGCCAGAAATGAACCATCTGGCATGAGGAATGATAGGATGAACAATAGAAGATAGCCAGGTATAAAACTCTCCAGCATGAGGAAATGATAGGAAAAGCAATAGAAGGTAGCCAGGTAAAGGACCATCTGGCATGAGGAATTGGTAGGAGAACGATAGAAGGTAGCCAGGTAAAAAAACAGCTGGCATAACGAAATGATATGATAAATGATGGAAGGTAGCCAGGTCCAAAACCACCTCGCATGAGGAATTAATGGAGTTAGATGCGAGATGGAAATGGGTTGTAAACACAACTGGATTGATCAAATATTAAATCTAATAAAAGGATGTGAATGAGTTTTGAAATCACCACCAGTTTTTGTAGTTAGCTTACCCTTAAGGCTGAGAGAACGTAGAGCAGTTCGGAGGGATGAATGCATGCTAAGGGTGGATATGAGGTTAGCTGATGACCCTCAGCCCCGTTGCTGAGAGATTCAATGAGATGCCACATATAGCTGTTGTGGATGCTCCATGAAGGCCCGACGACGACGCAGGCTAGAGCTAATGAATTAATCTCACAGCGGAGAATTGAATTGATGAGGGTAGCAGGCAATTCATTTGCCTTTTTGTCATTTAAAAGATCCCCCAAAAACCTATGAATGGGGCATGTCACTATAGTGAAACATAGCTGCAGACATGATGAGACAGTAGAAAGATTCCTGATCCAACGAGAAGCAGTCTTAACCAAAAGAAGGTCAGAATGCGGCCCTTAAGCAGTGAACCTTACAAGGAGGAAAGAAATGCAATTAGCCATCAAGCAGCCTGAAAATGAAAATGCAACGTGGGATGATGCGCAATGGCAAAATGCTGACCAAACAAGAGACACTGACGCTTGAAAAATAACGATGCAGTGATGACTGTGGTGATAACAGTAATAAAAAGTATTAATAGGCTGTGGCTGAGCGCTCTGCCCGCCCCAACCACAGACAGGCTCTAAGAAGCAATGAGCTGAGGGTGTGAGCAGAGAACACACGCACGTGAAGCGATTAGCTGGGGATATAATACGCAAGCATTGATGAGTTAAGAGCAAGGCTTGATGAATAAGCGTAATATTCAGTTGAGATACATAATCCATGATGTGCTAAGGGGTTCAAAGCGAAGTCTTATGATGCGAACGCATTAAATGGATTTGGGTGCGGTGCGCCGGAAGCAATGAACTGAGGGCCGTGATGCACCTGCTGGGATGAGTTAAGTGGGATGCGCCTGAAGCAAAGAGCTGGTTGGCCGTAATGCATGCTGCAATGGAAAAGAGTTCCATGAGTGCCAATGCAATGGGAAAGCAGCAGTTCCCAGGCAGCAAAGCTGCAAGAGGAAAAGAAGCGACTGCTGTAGCAACGCTCTATTGTAAATTATAAACATGTTGCTCACATCAAATTATTGGTAGGGACAATTAGGTTGGTTCAAAATTTTGGTAGGGATATGTCCCTATGGTCCCTACGCAAGCCTACGCCTATGATTGAGTCTCAGGTGATGAAGGAGAGCAATTAGCTTTTTCATTTGAACTTCCGCCTAGGCTCCATTTAACACAGATTTCTTAGCTGTGATACTAGGTATATTTTAACTGAGTTAGTTTAACTTAAAAGTAGCCATGGTGTCTTGTCAGTGGTTCCTCTGCCTATTTCACCATATTGTAAATATCTACATTTTTAAGTTTACTATAGGTAGTTTAGTATCAAATCCCACTGCAGAAAATTGCATTTATGAAGAACAAATTTGTTTTTAATTAAACCTCTTCTGTTGGAATTACATTTCTAATGCAGAACAAATGCCTTTAAAAGGATTTTTCTTGTATGTATACAGGGTTTTGCTTTCTTTCTATTATGACCTTTTACCCCTTCTTCTATTGAATCATAATACCCGCTGAATCATAAGAGCAGCTTTGCGAGACAGCAATAAGATCCAGAGCCACTTGGAGATCCCTATCTTCCAATGAGAAGAGGGCTCTTTGAACCAACTGAAGTTTGTAGAACCTGGCAGCCTGATGCAAGGCTCACAGCCTTGTAGAGACGTTCCCAAGCCCTGGTACAAACAAATGCAGAAACCGAAAACATATGCACTCCAGAATAAATACAGTCAGATGTGATGACTTTCACCTTGATATTGTAGTGTGTTTGTCTGCAGGTAAGTAACTCACACTGAAACTATGCTCTTTATTTATGCAATACTAAAAATCAGGAAATGCTTGTTCCTTTAAATCACAATGGTGTAACATTCTACCAGTGGTGCCAATGTTAACACAACTGCCACCTCCAGAGCATAATGTTAGCCTAGCATGAACAGATTACCAACATTAACAACCCTCTTTAATGTTGATGTTTTCCCCATCTTGACATTACCCAGCAGCCCTTGTGGCTACTCCAGCCTCACAGGACATTACAATGACTGCCTGAGTGACTGGTGAAAAAAAGGAGAAATAGAGTTTGGCCTGATTGACACAAAACTACTGACGTTAAAAGGTTCATCATGACCTATTATGTAGGCTTACAGCTCTGACAGATGGACCCAGTATTCAGGAGAGACAGTCAGTAGGAAAGTTCAAAAGGTTTATTAAAATAAAAACAAAACAAAAGCGGAGCTGTGGCTCACGGACACTGCAGGCGGGGGGGCGGGGCACCGCCCAATCTCAGACACTCTATGGAGGAAACCACGATTTCTAAGTGACCACGATAAACTAATATAAGATTATCTGGGTTGGTCACTTACCTGGTTTAACAGTCAAGACCACAAGTGTCTCCAGTGCTGCAGTCCCAGAGGTGAGACTGGAAGCCGATCCTGGTGAGGGATCCAGAACAGACAGGAACAGACAGAAACAGGCAGGATCCAGATCAGGCAGGAACAGAAACAGGTGGCAGGATCCAGACTTCCAGACATGCACAGGCTTCCAGGAGGGTTCAGAGTCTGACTGGGACCAGAAGTATAACCAGGTGGTCACGCACAGGAGCAGACTGGATCAGGTGCAGAAGAGCAGGCTCAGTGGAAGAGGGTGGCCAAGACAGGACGTAGGAACCAGAACTTGAAGCAGGACTTTAAACTGGTCTCCTCCTTGGAGCCAGGCTTACTTTGATAAAAACTGAACCTCCCCCCATAATGAGCCAAAAACCCAGAGGACTCCGCGGGGGAGGAACAGTGGAAGATCAGGAGACGAGACAAACACTAAAACCCTCTTTCCACTGGCAGC